TATTTGTAGGAAAGTCTGTGAACATCTTGATTGCTGTTTTAACATATGTTTATGCATCAGAGTCGATGCTATGGGGCTGCTTTGTTTTTAAATTAGGAACAAAATATCCCCTAAAAGCTAAACATCAGGCCATGTTATTATCCTCCTTCACCAACACTTACGACAGCACTGAGAGAACACTCTGGCCAAGCTGATGGGCAGCCAAATATAATTTATGGCTTGTTTTAGACTGATTTGTTGACTTCATGAAAGGCCCTGTCAAAAAGAACAGTCCCCTGAGTCCTAACAATGATACAGTCACGTTGCGTCAGCGCTGAAAAACTCTTGGATAACAGTGACCTATCCTGAGAAATCTTTTTTTTAAGTGCCTGAAATTTGCACTTTCTGAAAAGAAATAGGGCTCAAGCTATTGGTTGGTAGTTCTTTTTGGTTTTCTTTAGGCAGTGCTCACCTTATTTTCCACAATTTTTCGTGCTTCCGAGAGAGTATTACATAGTTTTCCATATTCCAGGTAATTAAAAATAAGCACGTATTGTTTAAAGGAGATGCTGCTAACAAGGACATGTTTAATTTCACTTACGTACAGTGTTGAGTTTGCAAGTGTTTGCGTCTGCAGCAGTATGACCGACAGTAGGAAACATCCAAGTTGCACATCAGCCTTATTTCTCACCTCAGTGCCTCACCTAAGTGTAGGGGCAGCCCCAGCGTGCTGCCTGCAGCTGTGTAGTTCAAAGCTCCCTTGCCTCAAGGGTGTCGTGGTTTAACCCGGCTGGCAACTAAGCACCACGCACACTGACTGATGCCCAGCCCGTCTCGAGCAGCGATCACTCTCCCCGAGCCGCGACCACTCTGCCCGAGCTGCGATCACTCTGCCCACGACCGGCCAACCAACCCCCCCGAGCATGATGTTATATAGTATGGAATAGCCCTTTGGTCAGTTTGGGTTAGCTGTGCTAGCTGTGCTGTACTCCCAGCTTGTTATGCACCTGGCCGAGCAGGAGAAGCTCAAGAAGTCCTTGAGTAGTCTGAGCACTACTTGGCAACAACTGAAAACATCAGTGTGTTATCAACATTCTTCTGGTTCTAAATCCAAAACACAGCACTGTGCTAGCTACTGTGAAGAAAATTAACTCTATCAGTCGAAACCAGGACAAAGGGCAAGACACACGTGCCCTGCTGTGGACTTGGTGCACATCAGACTGACATGTGAGGGAGCTTGCGGCCACCATACCCTGGCCCCTCTGCGGCTGTCCTCTTTGCCCCCTGCCCCATGACTGCCCTCCAGGCACAGCCTTGGCCCTCCCTGACTTGGAGAACAGTGAGCACAGCTGCAAAAGAGCATCTGCTTCCTAAGGTCTTTTCTCCTCGTTCTAGTTTTTAACAGTTTTGTCTCCGTTAAGTTCAATATTGTTGTTTCATTGGGTGAAGTTCTTCCTGGTGGAAATACAGTGCTTCAGTCAGAATATTTTCTTTTACATCTTTGCAAGTTTTACAGGTTTTCTCTTGTCTCCCCCCTACCCTTACCTGAACCTGCACCACACATTTACTGTGCTGCAGCTCTGCAGGTTTTCATCATCCCGAGTATTTTTCTGTGGGTCTTACTTGACATTGCTGAATATTAGGCTAGTGAAATCCTAGCTTACAGATAAAACAATATCACAGAAAGAATTATATATATGTTCTTGTCTAAGCACGTAACAATGAGCGAGTCTGAGTGTGAATTTAGATCTCTGGTTTCCTCTCACCACCGTGGGAAAAGGAAGCTGCTTCTGTGCTTAGACAGCAGTGATTACTTCCCACATCTGTGTGGTGAAGCGGGGGTCAGCCCCTTCTCGGCCCTGCCAGCTCCAGAGAAAGAGGGGTGCAGCGGCTCCAGCTCTGCAGCCTGGCATCGATGCACGGCCAGGGGCCCTTTGCAGCCTTTGCAGTCGCACTGGGCTAGGAGGGACCTGTCCCCTGAGAAGAAGGTCTGTTGCAAAATTCAAAATAGGGTAGGGAAGGAGGAGAAAGTCTTCCAAACTGCTGGGACTGCAAGTCTGGGAGATTACTCCAAGGACCTGATACAAGCTCAGGCGAAGCAGATCCACAGCCCCATGGCCTTCACAGGGGTGTTTTCTTGATCAGGATCTGGGGTTTTGTGGAACTGGGAGGAAACCATTGCATTAAAAATGGCATGTCTTGTTCCTTCTTTCTAGGAAAACACTGAAAAAAACTCCAATCCATTTTGTGGAGAGAAAAAAATTCTAGTAAATATTTTAAGGCAGAATACCTGTTTTGTACAATTTCTTGTGGAGAACTCCCATTATTAATTAACGAGCCAAAACTAGAATGTTAAAAAACAAGTGAGACTTCTGTCATCTACTTCAGGCTGAGCAGGTTTTGATACACGTCATAAACAATTACAGTAATTTTCTTTTACCATCTAAACAGTGAAAGTGCTGTGCAACCCACACAGTTAGGTTCTTGTTTTCTGTGAAGAAAGCAGATCTCGCTTCTTTTATTGGTAGGTACAGCCAGGCAGAAGGTATTTTGTGTAGTTTGGTGTCTTTGCTGAACCAGGAAAGAACACTGGATTTTGGGCCCACAAAAAATACTCAGTGTTGGGGGTTTTTTTCCCTTCTCTTGGAAGTAAAACTATTCTGTTTGTTGTTGGTTTTGGTTTTTTTTTTCCTTCTAAAGGTTATTTCTTGACAGTTCACATTCCACAAATAACAGGAAGGATACTGTGGTTAACATGTGGTTGCAGTTCTGGAAAGTGGCAATATAAATTACAATCTGGGATTCTGTATTTTATTGTCTCTCACCAATATCCATGTTAGAATGGAAGTAAAGATATTGTAAAAAAATTTTAAAACATTTTTATAACTTTCAGCCATATAAACTCAGCTTGACCCTAGGAAAGTCAAACTATCTTTGGCTGAAGCATCACAATGATAAAAACGCTGTTAGAATTTAATGATTCTCTTAATGACGCAAGAATTGAATTACATGTATTTCACCTGTTATGGCTTGTGAAGAGGAATGGAGTTATGCAGAAGCCTTTTATTTATTATCATTAAAATCATAACTCTGATTTGCAACTACACCATTTTATATAGCAGCATTTAATAGTTTGAGGCGTGGAATGGGATATATGTATTCCTTGTAACCCATTCTTGAAACTGGTGTAGGAATTCAAGCACAGGGAAGCATTTCCCATAATCAACTCTTTGGAGAAGCCTGGATATGAAGGCGCCTTCTGTGTGCAGGATATTTTTAAGAACCTTTTTCTACGCTACACCCAGTAAAACTTGTTTGGAAGAGCCTTGCTAGGCCAGAACATCAGACGGCTACATTCCAGTCACAGTTTTCCCATCAGTTACTGGCCTCAATTATCTCTTTGGTCCTGTGCAATATAGCGAAGGTTAAAGCATACAAACAGCTCAGTGGGTTGAGTTTACCTTTGTTTTGAAATCTTAAAATCTCTTTAATTTAAGCGGCAGATAATGGTTTTGCTTGGGAGAGTCAGGCGGCTGAAGGTGCATGAGCTGGGTGGACTTGCCTGGGAAGCTCCTGTGAAGCAGGGCTGGTTCACTGAAGGAGAGAGAAGCATTGCCAGCGCTTGCAGTGGAGCTCGACAGGGACCGTGACGGCAGGGGCTTGAAGCCGAGAACAAGGCAGAAGCTTCGGGGTTTTTGAAAGGAAGGCTACGGAGTTCAAAGCTGATGCAATCTCAGAGCGTGCAAAAGACTTTTTTTCTTTTTGCCGAGCGCGGTTTTTTGTGATTCTTGAGCTCACGCTTCCCTGCCGATGGGCTCTCTGACGCCTTTCCCGCAGACTCCCCGGGGGTGGCCCCTCGCCGCCCGCGGCCTTCCCGGGAAGGTCTGCCGGGAGCCTTCGGCCCTGCCAGGCGGGGCGAAGCCCGGGCCTAGCTCAGGCAGACACCCCTTTCCTCCAGCGCCCCTCCTCCGGACGGTGCCCTTCGCCTCCACCGGCGCACCCGGAGGCCCAGTCGAGACCGGGGCAGCCCACCACGCCGCGGCC